GAATGAACATGGTCTGGATAGCCCACAGACATACCATAAAAATTTCTAGGACCCATTATTGGTCTCCTTTAAATGTCATACTGCTAAGATACTTAAGATAACATCAGAATAAAACATAGTGTCTTCGCTTTAAAAATAAATTAGACGGATATCTTTTAGTGACACTAATGCTGAGTCAAACCTTGAATTTGCATGGAATCAATGGAGCAGTTTATCAGCATATTAAAATGTAATGGCATAATAATCATCACCACAACAAATGTACTTTTTTTTCTACAGATGATGAAAATCAGTTGTGTGAATAGAGAACTTCAATCCCCCAAAAAACATTCAAGGACTTTCAAGGACAAGTGTAATTTTTGGCTGTTTTCACAAATTTTCCATGGTCTTGAAATACATTTTTTCAAATTCACAAACTTTCAAGGATTTCAAAGACCCGTGGGATCCCTGGATTCAATATGAACATAATTTGGTGCACCTGTAGACCATCTTTAGGTAARTAAACAGTCCTCTCAGGGTGGCTGAGGATCTGTCATTAGAGCAGTCATCCTTCAAAAAGTGAGCCAGAGGTTCGATTCCAACAGTCTGCATTTGTTTGAAGTGTGGGCCACCAAACTTTCATTGCCTCTATTGTATGCCCCATCTGTGTATGAATGGGGTCTAAAGGACTGAAATGCAATGATGCAATCAGGTTAGTTCTGTTGAGACAGAGWCGTGCTGTATGAATGTGTGTGTGGATTAGGGTTGGGCAAATTGTATTGTGTGCAATTAGTCATCAGTAAAACTGTCAACAATTAATATTTGCCACATTGCAATTACTGCAATTAGTGCCATGAGATGATGATGTGTTTTTGTGTACAACACACTATCWCTATGCTTGTGAACCCAATGGTGGAAGGCAGAATGGAGCAACTAACGCTAACCTTAACCCCACGAACATGTTTAATCACCTGAAATACTAAACCYGAGTACAAGAAAAGCTGGAAAATGTAGACCAAGGCCACAATGTCAACCACATGCAAGTGCAATTGCCATCCAATAATTGTCAACTTGATCATTATTAGCCAAATGCCACAAAGAATCTGGATACATTTTTATGTAAATATTGTCACATTGTAATAACATTGTAAATGAGAGCATAKATTGTGCTGTAAAGCACTTTAAGTAGCCTTGTTGGCTACTTATACAAGTACAGTCCATTTAACACTTAWCAATTTGTAAGGAGCTGTTACTTCTAAAACAAGCACGAGAGCGGTGGCAATATACAAGTGCAGAAATATTTTCAGCACACAACTGCTGAAGCATCAAACAGTCAATCAAAACAGTGAGTGAAGGTCAGACACAAAGGATGTCTTGCAGACATATTAGACTGAGGTATCAGCACTTGAGAATTTGATAGGAGTCACATTGTGGGTTTAATGAGGTTGGTTGGTCATATCATAAAATGAAAGTTGTTGAAATCCCTTGGTGTACTGTGTCTTGGGAAGCTTGTCATAGTGTGCACCTCTACACACAACACCTTGTGTCACCCTGCAGTGTCTCGGTGCATGGCATCACCCTGACTATGGGTTCACCCCATCATGCATTTGCTGCCATTGACACCAGTGCAGAAATGGTTGCGTTTGAATTAGGGGTGTAACGATACATTGATCCACATCAATTTATAAAGTAAATGATTCGATTACATCAAGGCAAAATGAAAACATTGATCCATATGGTCAGCATATGCCCAATGTGGATCATTATATCAATCGCAGACTTGAATCAAAATCAGATCATGACAGTGATAGAGAAACACTGTCATCATCCAAACAAATGGATATAATATTGTATCATGATGAAGCTGGTGATTTACACCCCTATTTTGAAGTGGTGCATAGACCAAAGACTAAAGAAATCAACTTTGAGCCAGTGTTAAATCCACAGGATGCCAAGAGATGATTACAACAGTTGTGGGATGATTTGCCACAGGAGATTATACAAAGTTGTATGCCTCTGTTCAGTACCAAATTGCCACTTTAAGGGGTGCCATTCCATTCTGACATGGGACCAGCAGGTTGCCTCACTGCCAGTTCCATTATCTTTCTGATCAAATATTAGTCATATCACCTTTCAACAACCAATCCATCTGAGAGTTAACTGTTTTTGTCCATGTTTGTGGAGAAATGCTGCAGTGTTATTTAGCTTTTTGCTTTAAAATATATCATCATCTAATAATAGAACGTACACCTACCTGCTATGCACCATTTATTTTTTCTTTTGCGGGGCTAAATAGAAGATTGGAACAAAGCAAAAGTGTGTGTTTTAGTATGTTTTTGGGTGTGCGTGGGYGCAGACTTTTAGGTGAGTTTGTGTTTGATTCAGGTAAGAGTGTAAACTGGAGCCCTCAGGGGAAATGTGTGGGTGAGTGCTTGAGATGGGGGGGGGGGGTAGGAGAGAGGTAGCAGATCATGCTTTGTTATCAGAAGGGGTGTGTGGGAAAATCAGCTTAGCTGAGAAGGAAAGTGAAAAAGGGGAGGGGGAAGGCTGGGGCGGATGAGTCATTCGTAGCCAAAAAGAAAAAAGAAAATGTACAACCGAGAGGAAAAAGACAGAGAAGCGAGCAATACAATAGTGTGTTTCCTGTGAAGCTACTCRGGTTAACTTTGGGAAATGTCCTTCTTTTCTCCCTCAGCTTCCCACTTGCAGA